AATATATTCTTTTGTTTTAGAGATCGAGTCATTTTCACTATGTCATTCTCATAAGGATAAGAAATGGATTTTTTGTAGAGGTCAAAAAAGAAAATTCTTACTAGCAATATTAATTTTTATTGACAAAGATTCTTTGTTATTACTAGTAGATCTGCATTTTGTGTTTGAATAAGATGTATCCATCTACAATAGATGAGAAGGTTATGATCGAAAACTTATGTGTGTCTTATTTGTTGGTGCATATTATTTCGTCGCTCTGTATAAACAAGTAATAAATCATTTTAATGTGTATATGTAGAAACAGAAAAGAAAAAAAAATGAAAACTGCATACTTAACTATGATTTAGCTCACCTTGGAAATACCTATTTTTGACATTCCTTCTCTTTGTATATTTGAATCATAAAATTTCATTACGATGGTTATTTTCTATTAAGCTTATTAGAGAATCGAAAAACTATTAATAATAATACAACAAGGATAATTTGAACCTTTCATCAAGAAAGAAAAAATAAAGGCAGCATGTACCCAAGGTGATAGTCATGCATTGCTACTTTGACCTCAAGAGTGAGAAAAAGAGTAACTTTATTCAAGAATTTCTTATTAAATGTTCGATTTGAATATAAATGCATGTTTTGTACAATGTAGATTTTAATTTTCATCTGAATCGATGGCTCAATTGAACATACCACTTCGTATAATTGCTCAACCTAAAGCATTATATCGTGAAAGATATTCATGTGAAATAGATCAGAGTCGTAAGCAATCACCGCGTTTTATTCGTGCTGAAACTAATCCATCTCGATTGGAATATCCAACAATCGAAGTAAAAGAAATTGACAATCTTTTCTTTTTTAAATTTATTTCTTACATGCTTGTTGTTTAGATACCACAACAATGGGATAGTCAAGGGTTATATATTCGTGTAACTTTAGTAACTGTATGTAGTAAAGAAGTTCCTGTTAGATACATACATCCTTATTCAATTGATACTCCACAATCAAATGTTATTAAAGATGTAAAAAGAAATACACTTTATTTTCCAATATCAAAACAAGAATTAAATGATGGTTGTAAAAGGTGAGGTGCAAAAATATAAACTCTTATTTAAATAATTTACTTAATTGTTTTGTTAAATTTAGTTTTTGCATTATTCGGAAAAAGTTAACCCAAGTGGAGTTAAAAGATTACGGACAATTATCTCTTTTGAATACAGGTAAAAAAAACAAACTCAAAAAAATAATATCTTATATACTAATTTGTTTTGTTTTATAGATGAAATAGGTCTTCTACATATAGATGATTCACGTGATCCTCGAAAAATAATTGATGTTTATCAGTTAAAAGAGTCACAATTTCTTTTTTCTGTAGCTGAACTATGTGATAATGATCTCTTTCCTGGTACCTATGATGAAACATCTGTATATTCTGAGATAATGACTGCTAATACAACAACACCTATAAAAAATGACGAATCAAAGGTTAGATGTGTACCACAGAAAGGTTGTTGGCAAGGTGGTGATGATATTTTAATGGTTATTCCAAAACTTGATAAGAGAAAAGGTAATTTATCATTATTATTTTTTATTTATTTCTGCTTAATTAAATCTTTTAATTTTTCTTTTCTAGTATGTCACGTATATTTTGAATGTTCGTCATCAAATACAAAAAGTCAGATTCCTTTCGAATTTGTGGATATGAAAACAATTGCATTCACAACTCCACCATGTCCTATTCAAGCAATTGGAAATCAAAACATAGAACTTCCTCTCGTTGTTAGCCAAAAAGGTGAAGAAATAGCACGTCTGAATTTTGTCTATGAATCATGTAAATAACTTGGTTTTTCTTAAAACAGAATAATAAAATTTCTCTCTTTTTTTCTGTTTAGCTGATCAATGCTCAAATGATGATATGAATTTTTTGTTCGATTCTCCAGACTCATCAATCACTGATGAAGCATTTTCACTATTGAATACATCTTTAGATGATGTTAATAGCTCCATGTTCTTTAAAGATCTGTTTTATTATCTGAACAATTAATCTAAAATTATGAATATCACTTGAATAGATGACAATGGAGAATCTAACAAATAATCTTTTATTATGGCAAAACATTCTATGCTATGTGCATTGTTTTACAAATGTTTCAGTTGACTCTATTTTTTAATGTAAAAGCTAGTTTTAGTTTTGTTATACCAATATTTATTATATAATTTTGTACGAAAAAAAAAACACTTTTGAAAAAATATGTGTCTGTTTTGTTGTTTCAAGCTTCAATGAATACTAATGAAGGACGAGCGACTCATATAGCAGAGATTATTACGTGGAAAGAAAACAAAAAACAACCAATACAACGTTGAATTGTTTCATCGAAACTAGTTTTTTTTTGTCTTTCTCTTGACTCAAGAGAGTTGGCGTAGGGATATTTCAAATAATTATCATACAAAAGAAACGTGATATCAAAAACATTACTAGTTAGAGAATCACAAAAACAATTTTTATCTATTGTTAGTTAGTCATAGTAATATCTAGATTGATCATGGTTCATATCCAAAGAACTAAATAATGAATTATATTGACTTATTTGTTATCAAAGAACCATTACAGATTAAAATTAACTGTTGGTGAAGTCAATATAAAATTGAAATTTCAAATATAACTGAAATTAGTTTTCATAAAAACAAGAAAATTGAAGATATATTATATTTTGTTTGTATAAAGTATGGAAGATCCATCGAATTTTTATAATAAATACCTGAACTGATTACAATGTGTATATGTGTCTAACATGATTGATCTCACATATGTTAATTATTATATAAGATATGAAAGATATCAAATTAGATATTTAATAGATAAGAATGAAACATAATAATTCTTGCTTACTTGAACCAATAACAAACATTTTTAAGTAAAATATTTAGGGTATATATAGAGTTATATCATTGAAAGAAATAGAATCTTAGACATAAGTTATTTCCTGTCATTGATGATAAAAGA